TATATATATATATATGTGCAAATAAAAAATTGTATGATAATGATAGATGTAAGAGATCATTTTTTAATAATGTTTGAAATTTTTTTTGCTTACAGTAGACCCCTGGTTTTATGACCAAATTGACCTGGTTTCCTGGAAAAAAAATCATTGCTAAGCAAGCCATTGTAAATCAAAGTCTAATTTTTCATAAGCTTGCTGTCATAAATTTGAGGCTCTTTCTGGAAATATAAACTTTAAACTATACGGCAACATACTCAAAATGGTCAACAAAAAATTTATTTAGATATTACATTTCAAACAATTGTAACAAAATTTAAACCAGTTGTAAAATCAGGGGACTATATAATGTATAACTTTGTTTGCATTATAAAGAATTTTGAAGTTAAATTTTTTTTTAAGTATTAAATTATGTTGTGTCTTAAAATTATTAGAAATTGGATTAAGTTTAAAAGATTTTAGAAAATTTTGAAAAATGTTTACTTCAAATAAATATATTAAAATTTCCATAATCTAACTTTCTTCAAACTGTCTGCTTCTGCTATCTTTATTTAAAAGGAATATTCTTTGAAAGTGTTTAATTTTTAAAAATTGCTATCTTAATTTTTTAAAAAAAGATTGTTTTCATTTCTTGAAGAAAGCCTATTAACATTATGGCTTTTGTTTTTTAAAATGCAAGAGGAGTTGTAACAATGACATTTAATTAATCTTGAATAATATCACATACAGCATTATTATTTAAAATAAATTATATTTGTATTCACTGAAAAATTATTTGTAAAATGTGTCATGAAAAATTGATTTGATTACACTCAGAAGTATTACAATTACAAATAAATATTTTATGCAAAATGCAACTTAAATAATATGCATTGAATCACAAATTGTTGTAAATATAGCATGGTCTAAAAAGTCACTTAACTAAGACATGTCTTAAAAACAGCTAAAATTAATTTGAAACAGTTGCCTGATTCACCTGCTTCCAATGAAGCAATGGAACTACAAATAATACTTGAACTTAAAATAATAAAGTTAAAATTACAAAACAAAAATAATGCTGAAATACACCATATCTAAAATAAAACAGAACATGCAATCTACTATACATAAATTATCATGATTATATCAATAAAACAAAAATAATAATCTTTATTATTTTTCCATTGATATGAATTTAAATTCACAAAATTACAAAAAAAAATTTTTATGTTCGAATTTATATACTTCTGTGAAGTGAAAATTAATCTTAACCAAATAAAATAGCTGCAACTCAGGCTTCAGAATATTTATTGCATTAGATCAGTAAACATCTGTCTTTGTATAAATCTTGACAATAAGATATTGTTCTGAAAACATTAGGCAGAAAAAATTTTTCTGAAAGTTTAAGAAATATTTTTGTATTTTATATCAAAATAGAAAATTCAGCTTGTGGTTCATTTTAGCTTTGTCACATAACCTCTTCCATGTTCACGATAAACTTTTTCATTCATATTCTTTTTATTCATTGCTACATCATCATAAGCAAATCAGGATCTTCAAAGATGCATTTCTTATTATTTGAGATCCAGATTATAGATAATTTTTGTTGTCAAGTATATAGTTTCATGTCTTATTAGTCTACATAGTTTCTTTAACCATCTGTCTCAATCTTCTATAGATTATCTTAATATGTTGATTTACAGTTGCCATTATTAGAAGAAAATGGAATGGAATATTAATCTTTCTAATATTTTGAAGATTTGCTATTCCTCAAACACTTGAAAATTGTTCTGTTGTTTCTCCTAAATCCAGAATTTCCAGAATTGTCTTATTTATTCAAATATAAAGCCAACCTCAAAATATTTGTTTCCTAGATATCTCATCATACAAATCTAATATTAAATTACAGAAGATTTTTATGTAGTTGTCTTTGCTTGCATATTTGTATAATGCATTATTTAATTTTAGCCAGTTTAACAAAAACTAAAATACTTTATTAAAATTTAAATCTTTAATAATCTAAATATTGTAGATATAGGGGTTAGACAAGTAAATAGTCTCTGTGCAAACTCTTCTGTAGTCTCAAAATCAAATCTCAGCTCTCATCATTCAACATGTTAAAATGCTTCCTGTCAAAATATTTTTTTATTATAAAGAAATGTATTATCTCTGTATGTATCATAATATTTTCATTTTTTTTTTCTTTTTTAGATACAGTAGGACCTACTAATTGTAATCACTTTGGGATGTACTTATAACAATAACTGATGATTTAATTACTCACTTTGCTTACTGTTCAGACTACAGATAGTAGAAATTCTGATTTTATTGACACTGACATTAAAAGGACATCTCTGTTTACATGAATTAAATTTGATACAGGACCAGACTAACATATAAATTTAGGGATAAATGTGAATAAATTTACTTGTAAAAAAAAATGCTTAGTATCAGACAGAACAATGTTTTGTGGTGTCTTGAGTAATATATTCCTACTGCTGCTATTCTTAAATTGTTTCCCTCTTTTTCTAGTGCTTAAAAGCAAAAGAATTTTATACAGTTCTAATCATATTTACTGCATAGAAATATTTATGTATGATTTTCCTTCATTTATGTATTTCAAATAAGCTGTTTAATTCTAGAAAATATTAAGGAGTATTTTATACATTGAAATAGGTTTGTGAATGCATTTAGAAGTATATAATAACTATTTTTCAGCAGACAAATTTTACTTTTATTGTACAATTTAAGTACTCCCTCTTCAATTTTTGACCTATTCTTAAAAAATTAAATTGTTTGTATAGAATTCCTTCAAAGTATTTGTGAGACAACTATGTATCCCAATTAAGAAAATCTGACTTTAGATATTTCTTAGACTTAAGTAAAAATTATATTCTATGCACTATGCAAACCACTTAAGTAATTAATATATTATTTGTCTAATAATTCATTGGTATAGATTTTATGCATTATTATGTGTGATGATAAATTCTTTCTAAATATAAGAATTGAATATATTTTGATTGTTGTTAATATCTTTTAAGATTAATAATTTTGAAATTTGGTTTGTTTGATAAGCCATTAATTTGAATTGTCTTTTAAAATTTTTAAAGTTAGTTTTACAAAAAGATTGGCAATTTTAATATCTTTTTTATTGAAAGCTTAAAGCACTTCAAAATTTTTCTAATAAAATTAAAATTATAACTTTTTTAAAAATTAGTTTTCACTTTTAACACTCTGTTATTCGTTGTCAGTGGTTAATCTGTAGCCATACATCATTAGGTCAGACGAACAGAATCATCTGCTGATTGCCAGTGTACAGTTACCGAGCGATGACACACAGTTTGATGCATCCCATTATGACAGTGAAAAAGGAGGTAATTATATTAAAAGATTTTAAAGTATATAAAATGACTCCATAATTTAAAATATAATAAAAAATATATATTTGCTTTAATGGAGTATAATAACTTAGGAAACACAAACACACATTTGAGAACTTAAGGATTCTTATCTGTCTTCTGGTAATGCTTAGAATATGGAATATTAGTATTATGATAATACGTTACAAACAATTGTGTTATTAAGGAAGATGAAAAAAATATTTATTACTAGAAATTTGAAATACAAAATTTCATTAAAGATGAACAAATAAAACCAAATTAATATTCCACATTATGAAAATTTTCTGAAGACAGACACAATAATCTGAAAGTGCTCAAAGTTGTTTTTTCTAAGTTTTTACAGTCAATTAAAGTAAATGTTTTTATTGAAAAATTTTATCTAATTCTATTGTATAAGCAGTTTTAATAAAATAAAAGCTGTTTTCTTTATGTTTAGAATTTGGTGGTTTTGGCTCAGTTAGCGGTAAAATTGAGATAGAGATCAAGATTAATCATGAAGGAGAGGTCAACAGAGCTCGGTATATGCCACAGAATCCCTGCATAATTGCCACCAAAACTCCTTCCAGTGACGTTCTTGTATTTGATTATACAAAACATCCATCAAAACCAGGTCTGCTATTTTTTTTAGATGCATTATTCTCTTACATTTTGGTATTGTTTGTTGTAAATGGTAATTTTTTCCAAATTTTTTTAGATCCAAATGGAGAATGTAATCCAGATCTTAGGTTAAGAGGTCATCAGAAAGAAGGGTAAAATTTACAGTTTATAGTAAAATGTATATTGTTCATATTTTATGTTGTTGTAATATAAAAATCTTATAGTTATGGATTGTCATGGAATCCAAATTTAAATGGAAACCTTCTCAGTGCTTCTGATGATCATGTAAGTTATTATATAAATTATTTAAAATTTATTGTTATATGTTTTTTATTTGTAATAATTGTTTCTCTAGACCATTTGTCTTTGGGATATTAATGCTGTTCCTAAAGAAAATAAAGTAGTTGATGCAAAATCTATATTTACTGGTCACACTGCTGTTGTTGAGGTAAAATTTTACAAGTTGAATCATTAATATCAAATATTTAAACAAAAATCTAAAATTTAATTTATTTTAGGATGTAGCTTGGCATTTGCTTCATGTTAGTTTATTTGGTTCTGTAGCAGATGATCAGAAATTAATGATGTAAGTGATATATGTGCATAGTTCTGTACTATTTTAATAATCATTTAATGAAATGTTTTTCTTGTGAATTTAAATTAAATATTATTAGAAAAATAAGTTAGATAATTGAAAAGTAAATTTTATTAATTTAATATATTCACTGCAGTAATGTTCATTAAAAGTTCATTGGTAGATTTTGTGTTGTTTAAACCTGATATATTTAATGTAAGTTAATCTGTAATAATTGGATATGAGAGTTTCCAGCTGTGATCTAATTGATACCAGTTTCCCAATGTGGAGTTTTATATATGGCCTTTTTAACTTTCTTATCACAGTGTGTAAGTAATTATGTTAAAAAATTTCTGACACCAAGTAGGTTATGCCTACTACTTGAGATTTTTGGTGTTTTGTGAATGGCAATAATATGGTCTCATATGTGAGAATAGGAGTGAGGATGGAGTAAGTAATGGCAAGATTCAGTTGGACGGAATCTCTCAACACAATTAACTAAACTTAATTTAAACATTTATTAGATGGCATAAACATTTGTACAGTATGTTACATGGCTAAGTAAAATTTAACATTTGCATTTATGGATGTTATCATTGTGGAGAGAGAGAATTCACAAAAATTACCTTATGAGTCTGAACTAGAAATTTTACATTGAGGAGAACAGGAAATAGGCCCTGATGTTGATTAACAATTCTTGAGAGTAGCAGCACATCAGAGAAATTGCAGATGTAATAGCACAGGCACATATCTTAAAAGGACAAAGAACGGGCAACAACTGAGCAAAATCAGCCATTCTTTGTCATATTTAAAGGTGCAAATTCCCTAGAGGTGAGTAAAAGTCAAGGAAAGGTATCATAAGGTGTCACTCTGAGAAAGTGTAAGTTGACACACTCTCAAGTCATAAACTACCTTCTGATAAGGTCATCATGTTTTCCTTTAATTCATTTGATTCTCAGATATCCAGCAAAACTCAAATCTTTTATTATGGTAATATTAACACAGCCGGTGTTGGATCTTCCGGTAAGATGACGGCTTGCGACTGGTTGAGAAAGTCCATGGCCCNGGTAAACTTGATGGTAGAATAAACCTCCATAAGATAACTTTTGAGAATGTGGAATTCCTCTTCCATGTGTTGCCAGGCTACTAAGATATCTTCCACGTATCTAAGATATAATAGCGGGTATGCTATGGTGATAGGGAAGGTAAACACTCTTTGCTCCACACACCTCATGAGTAGTTCCACTAAGATAGCAGAGAGGAGAGCCCATAGGTACCCCTTGTTTCTGTAAATAAACTTTTCCGTTGAACCGAAAGTAATTATTTTCCGTGATATAAATCAAGGCCTCTCATATTTCTAGGATTTGCTGCGCCGTAAAACCCTCCTTAACAAGCGTAGCATTGGTGAGCATAACTGCCTCAAACTGTGGTACCGAGGGGTAGAGTGCTAATAAAATAAAATAATGTCCTTTTTCTCATACACTCTGGGCTATTGTTAATAACAATAGTAGCAAATATTAATAATAAAAGTAATAAAAGAAATGATAATTATAATCATATTATTATTATCTTGTAAATCAGAAATCTCATCTACTGGTCTCTTATCGTATGCATTGATGAACATAATATAATTACTAAAATTGTTTAGTGTTGCCAAAGATGAAAAGAGATGTTTAAAAATTGTTTTGGTTTTTGAAATTTCAAATTTATGATGAAAATAACATTGCTGTCTTTGTCATAAATCTACAAAAATTGAGATTTATCTGAAAATTTGTGTAATATATTGGTATGAGCCAAAAGTTGAATTCACCAATATTTTCAGGGAAACATAAGAACAGTTAAAAGTAATTGCCATTGTCCTTTAGACAACTGTCCCACCTCACGATTGTTTAATATCATCATTGTGGAAGAAAGTCTTTAGTTGTTCTTGAAACAATTTCTTGACAATGTGTATCAAATGATTGTCCAATGTGAAGTAACTTCTTTTAAATGTTTTATTTAGAGGTTCAAAGATATGGTGGTCACAGGGTGACAAATTTGTGAAATAAGATGGGTACTTTAGTCTTCAGAATCTTGCACATCAATTTTTTTGAATGCTGTCATCTATTTTCTTCACCATGTCAGCTATTAACACTACTCAGAGCTTGAATGTGCTTGGTTGGTGATTTATTCACAATATTTTCTGAACACTAAATACCTTCTTGCTTCACAATAAGCAGGGTCTACTGTACACTGCTGACATCCGTCTAATGCAGTGCTTCTCAAACTTTTTGGATTATTGTACCCTTGGTTGTGACTGTTAGTAGTAATGCCCCTATTCTGTGTATGCAGAATAGAGATAGGGGGTGATATCGCCTCTTTAAGAAACACTGATCTAATGGATTTTAGCTGCTTCATAATCCTCTGCAACAAGAAACTGAATCACAATTAATTGATCAGTTTTGGATAGATTTGTTACTATAATAGCCTTAGTTTCCTTTTGGTGCATTGATTATCCACATGTCTGATCAAGATACTGTTTGGAAATGTAAACCACAAAAATAGACTGCTTCAGCTACAGTGCATGGGCAATAACTTGACTTTCTGATCCTTAAAACTTTTGGCTCATGCCAGATTACTTTGGTATTTTGAACTTTTGAAAAAGTAAAATTTTGAATTTAAATTGAAAAGCCACTATTATTATTAAATATTTTTGTTTTGTCATTATTTTAGTTGAAGAACGTGTTATTAATGAAGAGTATAGAATATGGAAAAAGAATACGCCATTTCTTTATGATTTGGTAATGACACATGCATTAGAATGGCCAAGTTTGACAACACAATGGCTTCCTGATGTGACAAAGTATGTAGATTTTTATTTTGTATTTAAAAGTTTTAAAAAATTTGTAATAATTATTAAAACATTAACTATATGGAAGAGAGAAAAAATAATAAATTTACTATAATAATCTTTTAGCAGTGCAGATTTTACATGATGTTATTTAATAAACTGAAATTATGTATTGATATTTGTTTCCTAATAACTTTTTTTATATAAAAACAAGTAAATGTAGTTTAGTTTTATAAAAAAAAAAAAAAAAAAAAGTTGTAAATGCTAATAATGAGTAGAATCATTAAGTATGACCCTACATAGAATATGACACATGACCCCGTCTATCTTCCCATCCCATCAATCTTTAACCACCAAAATTTACACACACACCAAAAAAAACCCTGAATTTTTTTTTGCATTTCTCAACGTTTTAAGATCCTGAGTCCAAAAATGACAATTTTGACTCCAAAAATGTAAATATCTTGGGGATCATTTCTTACCAGAGTCAGGAAAGTAAAAAAGTAGTTTGTACAACAATAGTGGAAACCTTCGTGAATTAGCATGTACCATAGCGGCATTAGAGAAAACTAGTGACATCTAGCAGTTCGACTAGAACATTAACACCACAGATTAATAAAACTTGATAAAATATTTACTTTGTTGCATTTTTTTTTTTTTTGCATCTTTCTGTCTTTATTTTATTATCTTAAAACATAAATTATAATTTTATTTAGTAGGAAATGTGGATGGATAGTGATTTAAAGGAAGAAATAATAGCAATAAAACAAATCAAATGCAATAAGAGTCAGATTTTTAAAATTAAAATCGGAGGTTTTAATATAATTTTATTAAATTAAAACACATATATGACATGATATATTTGTGTTCAATCATGTTTTGATATACATTTCTACATTTGAACGTTCTTCTAGTTTTATTTGGGTTTGGTATTATAAATTAATAGTGAGGGTACTGTACCAGGCCAGATCCTGTAACATATGTAAAACAAGTTTTTAGTTAAGTGCAATGATAGGAAACTAAATAAAATCTGTTTGTGGACAATTAGTGATAAGTTCAATATTAGATTGTAAACTTCTAATTCAGTGAGAGGAACAAAAAAAAATAGGTAAAAAAACACCATTGAATTATATTAAGTGAACAAATAAACAATTTTATATGCCCTTGGCTTAAGAGATTTTTGTTTTTGAAATCTTTTTCTGTAAAATGGTTGGAACACATGACATAATTTCTATTTAAATATTCTGGCTCTTTTGTTTTCAAAATCAGTCCTTCTGATCTTAATAATCCACTGAGTGCATCTGAAAATACATATGTTGAATGATGATAATATTTTAAAGGAGGAATGTTCATATAAATGAAAACAATCAAATTGCTTATTAATTTACTTATACTTGTTTGTTTTTAGGGAATCTGTAAAACAACTTGCGATCACTTTGTATCTTGTAATTAAAACAGTCATACCTAGTGCAAATAACACCTCTTCCAGTCATTCTAATTATTGAGAGATATATTAAGTTCAAAACTTTATGTTAATACCCAAAAAGTCTCCTTATACACATGATACAAATGGATCACTCCAATTATATCGTGTGTATAAGGAGACTTTTTGGGTATTAACATAATTATCTCCTCAAACCACTACGTGGTAAGCAGAAGCTTGTTGCCAGTTTCCACTATTGTCGTATAAACTATTTGGTAAAAACAATCACAATTTTTAATTCCAATCAAAAATACAAGTTCCTCATTAAATCAGGAAACACATCTCACTCACTGAAAAACTACATTTTATTTTTTCAATTGCATTCCAAATGAAATATCAGGTATGGAGAGTATGTGTAGAAATTTTGAGGTTTAATGAGAACTCTCTTATTACATTTAAAATCACTAAACAACTATTTAAGTGATATTAATTTAAAAATTGATTTGCTCATAGTACAAATACATACACACATTTGAAATAAAACAGTAAAGGATGATTAACATTAAATTAATTTTCTTTTATGTAAGCTAAACTGTTATTATTGTCACATTATGTAATTTTCTTCTTTTAACTGGTTTTTAATAGAAAGTTAATTTTTGTATTAATAATATGCAGAATAGTTTTATACAAGATATTCATTTCACTTATTTATAACACAGATATTCTAAAAACGTTTAACAGTAATATAAATCAGTTCAC